CACTTTTCGGCGTCCAAATTGCATGGCGAGAGTAACCCAAAACCTTAAAGCAGACACAAACACATCGCTTTCACTTGCTAATTGAGCCCTCTCGCTTTACTTTGACAAGCCTATGGATCATTTTACGCATCCCTGGTGAGAATTCTTTTCTTGAGCAAAGCTCGTCATGACTACACATAAATTTATAAATTTAAGAACATACTCGATGTTTTGTTCGCAAAAGCGGCCATAGTAGGTTCTGAACAACTATTTTAGATTCTTAAGTTGAGAGACGAGGAATACAAAAATAGAATACACGTGATTAAACTTTGACTGTCATTTCAAATCGGCGACAGTTAACACATCGGTTAAGTTATTTCGTTCTTTTAACTCCGATAAAATTGAACACAACTTCAGCCCTGGAGTCCTAGTCAAATACGACGGGACAGGGGCGACTACACCACAGATATGGAGCCAATATTGGTTGGTTGAATAGTCGCAAAAATGACATACCCTGTAATTGCTTCTCATTTTTCTCTTGGAGGAGAGGATATCAATCAGCCTGCTCTATCTAATGTTGTTTTTATACAGTACTTACGTTAGAGCCAAACTTCTCTTGCCGCTATGACATACTTCGGTAAAGAAGAATGTGACTCTGAGTAGCTGCCCTAAATATTTTGGAACGTGAAAGCAAGAATTCCACGCTAGTGCCGAGAGACTTTGGTGGGACTACCTAATCACAGGTCAACAAGACAAATATCCCATGATACATCTTAATACAGTCGGCACAGCTCTGAAAGACGTCAACACAGAGGTCAAATGATGTCGTATGCGTACTTGGATAGATAGTTTGCCATTGTAAACATGGAGAATATGAGTGATATGCAATTTTTCGCAGTTTTTATGGAAAGTTCGAAGTTTTTAAGGCCGAGACTGATTCACTCTGTGGTGCTAGGCTTAACCCATTTTATGCTAGTTCATATTCTCGTATATTCTTTTAACACTTTGCTCGGCGGCTTGATGAAGTCGTCCGTAAGTGCTGGCAGTAGCACAGGCAGACAACCTGTGGTCATAAGTACCGCAAATCGTAACATTTCATCCCCGAAATCCCCTTAATGACAGTCATATAAATACAGTTCACTTACCTTCGTTTTTCTGTGTTGTCTCGAGTGATTTTGCGGGGTTTTGGGACCGGTTAATTCTCCACTTTGCACTGATGTCCCTCCAAAGGCAAAGGAAAAATACAAGGCGTGCAACTTCAGGCCGTCTGGACCGAAAGCCACCAGGACTTCACCGAATTTCTTCCGCTTCCAAATGGCGCTCACCTCCCAGCTTCGGGCACGTTAAAAGTCGATAAACGTGTAAGAGCCAAGCTAAAAATCATTGCAATTGCCCCCCTCTAACCACCTCAAGAGCCTGCTCGATTTCCACCGACAACTTTAATTTCAAATTCAATTTCAATTTTCAATTGCTATTACTCAAAGCTTCGTTCCGATTGGCTAATATTTTTTTCCGGTTGCCGAACGGAAGTGTTAAAATAGTCACAGGGGAGGGCCGGTTTGTACCGTCTTTCGACCGACACACCATGCACTAGCGTGGGAGGGTCGGGTGCAATCTGATCTCGGTTAGTGATTAATTTGAATTATAATACGGTTAATCGAAGGCTTCGGTCCACATTATGTGTCGACGGCTCTTAAACGTTTATGAACTTTTAACGTGCCCGAAGCTGGGAGGTAAGCGACATAGGGAAGTGTAAGAAATTCGGCGAAGTTCTGGAGGCTTTCGGCTCAGACGGTTCTGGAAGTTGCACGTCTTGCGTTTTTCCTTTGCCTTTGGAGGGGCATCAGTGCAAAGTGGGAATTAACCGTCCCAAGGGCTGTCTGTCTGTGGCAGTAGTTATTCTTTACTGCGTTTACGATAGAGGTGCCGGTCAACACTGAGGAAAATGTATGAAAACTAGACCCTGTGAGCAGGGTAACTGGGATACTTGGATGGTACTAGATCCTTGGGATCAAGTGTGGTGATACTACGGGTGTCGGACTAGTATACTGAAATAGTGAGCTCAAGTCTGGCCAAGGGCATACACCTATTTCAAAAAAGGTTGTCATCAGGCGACAGGTGTTAGGTCATTCAGAGACGGAAAGGAATCATGGGTATACAACTCGGTAAATAGTTCTTGCTGAGTGTTATACACTTGTTTTTTTAACTCGATAAAAGTTTTTCTGTATAGTATTCTGTTAAAAACCGAGCAAATATAGTATGAATCTTCCCTAATCTTACTTTGAAAAGCTGTGATCTTATGATCTAAATCATGTTTAACTGAGTTTCTATGGGCTTCCTTATTAGCTTGGAGTTGTGATATAATCTTATCTTTGTCTGCAGGATCTAGTGTTTTATATCATTCTGCTCTGCCAGAAAAAAGTTTTTCTTTTTCTTCAGGATTTAATGACTTATGCTATTCTGCTGTTTTTTGTTTTTGTGCAGTATCCAGTGATTTATACCAAATTGCTCTGCTAGACAAAATATCTTGTTTTTCTGCAGAACCAAGTGATTTATACCAATCTGCTGATTTGGACAAAAGCTTTTCTTTTTCTTTTTCTTCAGGATTCAGTGATTTATACCTTTCAGCTTCTTTTTCTGCAGGATCTGGTGACTTGTACCATATTGCTTTATTAGACAAAACTTGGTTTTTCATAGCAGGTTCCATTTGTGTATAGCTTTCTTTTTTCCTTTTTGCATGTAGTTCTTTCTGACTATGAGACTTATGTTTTTCCATTACCTTTTGTCTTCCAGCATTTGACAAATTAGTTGAACAACATATAAATTTAATACAATATTCTTCATATTTACTCTGGAAGAAACCAGTGGTGGTTTTAGAAGATAATTCTAATAATACACATCTTAAAAATCTCCTTCGGAACTGAAAAGGTGTTTTTCTGTTACATATGCAACATCACTTTTGTCAATATAAAGAAGGAAGCATTGTTATCAAACCAGAAAATAACCTACTCTATTACTTTCTACAAAGCCAGAATTATGGGGAAAAAAAACCGAGTTTGTTGGCACAAATAGAAAAAGAGCCCTCTTAACTTTCAAATAGTTCAGAGGTAACAACCCTCATTAAACTTTCAAATTTAGTACCTTTTTCCTGTCACATATTTCAGGGTTAACCATTTGTACCCTAATATCAATATGCATATTCTCCATGCTGTTCTCTATACACATCCTAAGGTGCTGACAAGGAGAATTGTATGGTAATCAAGAGTGTCTTTATTTGGTGATCATTTCCTCTTTTCTCATGAACTTAATGGATGATTTAGGGGTAAAACTTTAAGGAGAAATTAAATGCTAGTCACTCTCAGCAGTAAAAGGCTTTTGGTGAGTAAAAAATGAACCAGAACAAGACTAAGCAGAGTTGAAAGAAATTTGAGCAACACCTCTCTATGAGAAAGTGAGCCTAAAACCTTTACCATCAACTTAACATTGTTGATCTTTGTTACATTTTAACATTGTGTATGGCCTTGCTGCCTACACTAATGACTTCTCAGTTGGTAAGTGAGAGTAAAAACACTTTTCAGGATTTTTTGACAAGTAATTCTCATTTTCCCTAATCAAAGCTATTTAGAATTCCAATTTCCTTCATTTGATTAAGTTTAAGGTTTTGCTCATCCACTCTAACCAATAAGAGTTGTTTCTATCAATGATTTCCTTAATAGTATAGGCATATTTTTCTTTTGAATATGCCACTTTTGAAGGGTTGTGACTTTCAAAAATTGAGCAATTTTGAACAGTTGATAACAGCTTTTATAACTTAACAGTATTAACCTTTAACATAAATGCAATATCTATACAGGGAAGATGCTTTATGACTTATTAATTACGGTATTAAATAATCTTCAGAGCTAATAATGCTAGTAACCTTTTCATATTTACCATAACTAAAATCTGTAATAAATGCAACATTCATGCAAAGAAAATGCTAAATAAAATAATAATATATAATAAATAAAATAATGCTAAACAAATCCAGCGGACATACAAAAACTCTAACCTACAACAAGCATAGACAGACCACTCGACCCAGAAGAACCCAACAAAGAAACATTATCTGGGACAACCCTCCTTTTAGTAACAACGTACAAACAAACATCTGCAAAACATTTCTTAGACTGGTATCGAAGCATTTTCCAAAACATCACAAATACCACAGTTTATTCAACAAGAACAACGTAAATGTCAGCTACAGTTGTATGGAGAACATGGGATTGATTATCAAAAAACATAACAAAAAAAGTACTATCTAACTACAACAACCATGACAACAACGAAAGCCTTTGCAACTGCAGATCTAAAGAACAGTGCCCGCTCAACAACAATTGCCTGTCTTCCAGCATTATCTACAATGCACAAATCACCACTACAGATAACAAAACGACCCCTAGGAACTACATTGGACTGACCAAAGGAACTTTTAAACAAAGATTTAATCAACACAAGATTACATTCCAACACAGAAAATACACTAACAACACTGAACTATCCAAATACATCTGGCAACTGAAGGACAACTCTATAAACTTCAACATAAAATGGTCCATTACTGCAAGAGCTAGGCCTTACAACAACACGACGAAAAGATGCGACCTTTGCCTGACTGAAAAACTCACGATTATTAAGTTCAACAGCAACAACATGCTGAATAAAAGATCCGAACTTATATCCAAATGCCGTCACGGAAACAAGTTTTATCTAAAGAACATCTGACACCTCCCCGCTACAATAGACTTTAGTCAATATATTCACACCTACTGCCTCATTGTCTCTCATTAATACATCCACACCCATTGTAATTTTCGCTTTTCCTCACCTATTATATAACAACAACCTATTGTAATCAGCAGCTACCTTTTTTCCTTATATATATAAATTAGCCTACAGGAATGTTTTTCATTAAATCTGTCTGATGAGTGTGTAAGCATGAAACTCAGCGTAACAGGGAATCATGCGTGTTTCATTTTAGTCATTTTGAACTAAGTAAATATTTATCAATTTACTGACAGTTACAAAATTGGCAGTTAGTTACTTTTATATATAGTACTCATATACAAAATCTCAGCATGGCTAGAATTCACATTTTCTTCAGGAAGATGGTACTCTAGTGAATAGTTTTCACCAGCTTTACAGCTTTCAGACCTTATTTTTAAAAAGTTCCCCATATGAAACCCATGAAGCATTAGCTCGTCAGAAATTGCACAGGTGGCAGGAGCACTAAGTAGGTTAAGACTTCCTTGAAAGAGAAAGAGGACACCAGCAGCAACGAAATGCCCTACCAAGGCACTGACTATAGGCTGATCTAATTTGAAGGGTGAAAGAAAAACTGCAAATTAATATGAATTTACAGTTATTCATAAACAGGTCACTTTGTCACTAAAATGTGCTCAGGCTAATTTTGAAATAGACATAACATTTTCGTGAATAATTGAGCTGCATATTTATCCAGAACAGGTTCAGAATCTCAGACACTTTGCAACACACTCATAGCACTTTTATGGGAGTATCCTGAAAGGGAGAGAGATGAGTTTTCCAATTGCTTTTGATTATGTAGATCTCAGGTAAGGTTAAGACACATTTGGCAACTTGACATTCCATAATTCACTTTGAGTGGCATGGAATATTGTTGTGAAGATTTTTGTACCTGAGATGGATACTTTCCCTAAAACAATTTGTTCAAATTCAAACTGGTCACAATTTGTTGAAATAGACTCAAGAAGACTTTAGTCTAGAAACTTGTATCAGGAAATATCTATCATGCTGTTTCTCACAAGAATTTGCCACTGTGACTTTTAGTGTGATATATATATTTTTTTTACCTGGTTGGTGTGGGGTTTGATATTTTTGGGTTTTTATTTTGCTATTGTACACAAGCCCTTATGTTGACTGCTAAGCCAGTCAATAAGAGCAATACCAACCTGGTAAAAGGTTTACATCCATCAAGTGCCATATGCCCTGCCATGAAGCCACAACTCCAAACCCCAGTAGGTAAACGAAGCTTTTCTCCACAACCGTCTGCATAGCCCGCAGCAACAAGACATGTGCCATGTATAATTCAGAGGACAACAAGTACTCGCTCATGAAATAGCATGCAATGAAAACAGCATACCCCAGGCCTAAAGCAAGGACTGAAGATTTAAATTTCGACCCACATGGCCAGGTCACACTAGCCACGATTATCCATGTCCCCCTCCAATACACTATAACACCCGCACTATTAATAAAGACGGTCACAAAACTATTCCATATCCGTGAGTAACATGCTGTCTTGCTTCTTAAACAATGCTTAACGGTAAGAATTACTTCTGATGGTTCAGTCTGTCTCTCACTCACGCAGTAACCTGGAACAGCGATTATAGATCTCTGCGTGTTCAACATCAAAACAATAAAGAATCCAATTCCATGGGAAACACCGGCGCTTGTAGAAGAATTAGTAGTGTAATAATCCACTATCATCCACAGACCTCTCCATGAAGCGACGCACAAGATCGACAGAAGGTAAATAAGAACGCGAAACAATGCATTTTTCGCTTTCGCACCGTTTAGAAATTTCTTTAAATGATCCTCTATTGCTGTTATCATGAAAATCACTCCGAAACTCGCAGTGGCCCCAACTATGGCACTGACAACTGCGTCACCAGGAAAAAGGAAAAGGTCGAACAAATACCATGTTCCTCGCCAGAAGTTTACTACGGCGGGTGTTAGTAGAAATAAGACGAAGACCAAGTTAAGGAACTTTTTCCAACATAAACTAGAGACATATTTGGTTGCCATACTTCTAAGGTAGCAATAGGCCATTTTACAGTTGTGTACTTAATTGCCAAGCCTTTGACTTGGAATGAGGCTGAAGGTGACCTTGTTGTAATAGAGACCAGTATCTAGTTAGCATGATAACAAAGTAATTTGCATTTGAAAAGCAGCAAGGTTTGTATCATAACAAGGTCACCCTTAGCCTCATTCCTATTCAAAGGCTTGGCAACCAAGCACGCAACTGTAAAATGGACTATTATAGACATGTGCGAGATTGTCTCTCTAGGTCCGTCAGGCGGTATCGCATGCGTACCACCTAAGGCTGCTGATTTCCTGGAAAAACTGGATTAAGGATCATCGGAGCACCGGATCAAGGATCAATGCAAAATTAATCAAATAAATTAAATAAATCAATGGGTATGATTGGTTGCTCATCTACGTGACGCAGTCAAGATCTCCCGTATGCTCAAGTGAAAATAAGATAAAATAAGCGAAATCGGCACAAATAAAATAGATATAATAGATATAAATATACTAAATACTGAAAAAGCCATACGTATGTGATTGCGTATCTGACTTCCGGTACAATTTCAGAACACAAAGCCGTTTTTGGCGACTGCCGGAGTGAACAGCAAAGTTTCAGCTGCTTTAATTTCATCTCTTCAAACTTTTACTGATGTCATATCCTTAAAGGAAAAGCAGATGGAATGCATCTGAAGAATCACTTGCTTAGAGGAAGATGTTTTAGTCGTTTTCCCGACAGGATTAGACAAGAGTAGGCCCTTCCCGATTATGCTAGCATTTTTTTTGGCATTATGTGGTTAAAAGAGCATTTTTTTTCACACTTTCTGTAAAAAGAATTGCTAGAATTATTTAGCATTTTGCATAACTTTTATCTAGATTTCAGCGCTCAAAAGAGTTTAAATGCTAAATTTTAGAATTCAAAAGCGTTGTGATGATTTGCTTTTGTGTTTAAAAAAAGGATTCCTCTAACTGTATGAACTGAGTGCAGCTGGTCAGCGGTTAACTTTCAGAGGCCGTTCACGCGCATGTACAAACAAGATGGCGTTGCACTGGCCGACGCCACGCCATCTTCTCGATACCAAAGTAGCATTATTTTGAGAATCGAGCATAATTTGAGCATTTTTTTTGGCGTAAAGCGGAATTTCTAGGAGCATAAAATGCAATTTTTAGTAGCATAATCGGGAAGACCGAGACAAGAGGCATGATTCAGAAAGTGATAAAATTGCATCGCCCCACTGAGTTATTGTTGTGAGTCCCCTAGGGTATACACGGAAGCAACAAGTCGAAAATCTCAAGAACACACATTCGAATCGACTCATTTCTTAGTCTTACATTATTTTTTTTAAAGAAAGCACCTGACGAATGACCAGGAAGAATTGTTTTTTCTTTTTTTTTGTCACCAGTAAGCACTGCAGGCAGAAAATTTAGTCCTACACCTTTGATCACTTCCGACAAAATAAAGTACCTTGACGTTTGCCGATTCTCTGTTTCTTGATAGCTGCAACAGGGGAACCACACCAACGGTTAAGCATGGTGCGCAAAAGCAGAAGTCCAAATGTCACAAATGTCCTTCCGTAGAAGTTCCTAGTTTTTTTTCTGACGATTCCTTTCAACGTCATTATTATATTGGAACATTAAAAAGAAGGGGTCACCGGACTTTTTTTTCATGCCAAAGCTTTCGTGAGTTTAGCAATTCCCGCGCAGGTTCTCGCGCATTTAAAAATCCAGATTCTATAAGATCGACAGTTGCTCATGATCTGTTGTGGCTACCGCTGACAATTGCGTGTGCTCGTGCGAGCTCCAACTGCATCCGATCACAAACGTTCATAAACGTTTACTACTCAGAAAGTTATTCATAAGCTAGCCTGCAGAGCAGGCGTAATTTTGGCTAGCGAGTGCTAAGTAATTTCATAACGAATATTATGGCCGCCATCTTTGATTTTAATGGCAGCGAAAGGCTGGGGAGAGTAAAAATTTATACCCAGGGGGCGGTCGACGGTCAAAAATAAGGAGAGGGATGGGGGTAGGGGAGTGAAGATTTCTCCATCTTTTCTCCCCTTGCCCGCCCCCTACCCTCACCGTCCACTCTAATTGCAAATATTGGTCAAATATTGGTTTGACCCCTCATGCTACTCAAATATCATTACCTTCATTGCCTCCACAAAAACGAGTTTGGAGTTCTTAGAACCAATGGTGCTATTAAGACTTTCATTTCTCTTTGAATTAGCACATGGAGTCAGTTTATTCACTACAATGTCAGTAGAATATTCATCCAGAATGTCAGCTAGGCTTTTTTTAGGGAATTTCCAAAAAGATCTTTGCCATTTGGTAAGTCTGTATGTTTGTAGGCAACAGGATTTTGCTTGAAATCACACTATGAAACATTACAACAAGTATGCTCCCCAAAGGCATGGGGAATGATTTTTTTGAGATCTTGCTTTAAAGATTCAGGATCTCCCACATTTGGCTGACACAAAAACTGAAGCACTAGGTGATGTAATTTATAACCTTTGGACTGAGAATTGAGCAATTTAATCCTTTGAAGCGGTCTCTAAGATTGTCCAGTATTAAGGGATCTCTTGGCATGAACAACATGGGACTATTTCTCAACACCATAAGGGACTTTGTTATTTATGTCTGAAAGGGTTGTTGAGTCATCATCCCCTACATAAATTGAAAATTTGACTCCAGATTGAGGAGCTTTTCTCCACAGTTCACAGGCAACATCCCTTTCCATTGATTTTGATGATCCATTGTGTTTTTTTGGACAATCATGTCTTTTTTCTTTTCCAGTTAATTTGTTATGGCTACATACTCGACACATCTTGCATTTTGTGGAGTAAGTCACAACTTTTCCAGTAGCAAGACCCATGGCAGCCCCCTGACCAGTTGCAGAGTTGTGTCCCCTTCCTCTTTTTTGCCAACCCATATTATAAGAGACAGCTACTCCAGGGAGACAGTCTGCAGATAGACCAGAAGATTTCTCAGCAATTTTTTTCTTAAATCTAAATTAAATTTACAGCTATCTGTAGCAACCTTCTCTAGAGCATTTCCAACTTCTCTTTCTCTTCTTTTAAACAGGTTATGATTCATTGTTAGTACATTCATTGTAGAGAGTAAATTATTTAGGTGGGTATTCCCCATGCCAGCATGTAGAGATCCCAATACTGCCCTTGTATTGATATTGCTCATAAGAGGACCACAGCTTCCAGCTCTGTGTTCAGCAGAGGATTTTACTTCATTTAGGTGACCACAGAAGCTGTATTTAATGCTGAAGATACTACTGAGACCGCTTTGTTTTTCTTCCATAATGTTTACAAGGGATAATGAACCTGTGAGTGCAATAAATGGCCTAGTGATTAAAGTCATTTATTTATGCATAGAAGCAAATCGTTAGAGGAAAGCAAACACATTTTTTTTACATTTTTTTTTTTAAGAAAGTGGAAGTTCAAGATGATAGGAAGTAAGATATTGTACTCTGAAATTGATCAGCAAGGGAAGTCATATTTGAGCCTGTCTAAATGCCTGTATTCAATAGCTAAAAAAGTTTCCTGCACTGTGTTAAACATAAAATGTTTTATTTTACCTACAAATTATTTTACCCACCTTATGGTTGGGAACTTATTGTCACTTACACAACAATACCAGAGCCAAACATTTTGATATATTCATATGAGATTATAAAAAGATATATTATTTTTACCGACTTATTTTGTTTTGTGTGTTTTTTTTTTCTTTCTGAGAAAAATATTTCTCAGAAATAGAAAAGACTCCTACAGGAACTTACCTCTTTTGCAGCTTGAGCAAGATTTCAACTCGTTTCGAAGAACTGAAAGTTCAATCAGTCTTGTACCACAAATATCAACCTCATATTTAGTGTGCTGTAATGATAAAATTTTTGCTTGTCTATTTGATTATGAAGAATCAAAAGAAGAAAAGGAAGGAAGAAAACGTAACAAAACTCAGTCGAACCAGCCGAAACGCAACAGCGATGTAACACACATAAATTACCTGGTGTGAACTTGCTTTTATTTTCCTTGGAGATTCGCAGTCTTTTTCTTCTTCAGGCAGATTTTCTTTCACTTGAGTTCTCTCTTTTTTTGCTGTCGCGAGATTTCGTATCGATTGGATTTTTCGTTTCGATGCGAAGCAACCCTTATGTCGCCGAGAATCGCCTTTTTTATTTTTTGTTTCTGTCTCCTGCATGCACAGTGGCTGTTGAATACATCAAATACACGCTGGTGGGCAAACTTGTTACAAAATAAGACAAAAGTTTCGTAGACCGAAAAAAAGCCTTGCGCCGCCATACTTGTTTTGAATTTTTCGCCTATTAAATCTCGCGCTTCCTTCGCGCGTTTCTCTCGCGCGTGACGCATGAGAGTGACCAACTCCCCCGCGAGGAAACTGGTGCCAGCCACCTGAAGTCATTTAATCAATGGCAATTAACTTAAAAATTATTTCGCATTTGCTACGGTGAATTACAGAATTATTCATTTTCTGTCCTTTTCATCAAATCTAAGCCAAGAGTAGTAATAAAGTGATTACGTAGGTTTGCTCGATTTTCCACTCCTAAATACTTTCCATATGAAACATAATGATTTGATCGTGAGACAACGATTACATTTCATTTAGAATGTGCATTTACCACGATGACAAACCATGACCGTTTTTACGATAGTAACCTCGATAGATTTTGAAATATCTGGCTTCCGCCTTTCTACCAACACAACAGAAAATGGCTGCAGGAGTTCAAAATAATCTCTTCCTTGCGTCTTCTTCAGTTGAAGTTTAGGGAAAATATGGTGAGCTTCGGTAGACAAGACGGCTAAGCGAAGAAAAGCGACTTTTCATATCACCCTACGTTTGTCTTTATTTTTTAAACAGCTTTATTGGGTATGACCCATGTTATACTAATACAAAATAAAATATATGATAGAAATTGTAAATACAAGATACATCAAGAACAATTATTGAGAGAGCGGGCGGGAGCAGTAAAAAGTCCTAGAACAAATAGGGCTGGTACA